CGCATCACCCGAAAATCCCTTATTGCCAGCGAGCATAGTGCAGTGTGATTGCTCCGCTAATGATGGCGCTTAGGATCGTATCTAGGGCAGGAATGTTACCTCGTCCGGTCCTCCACGCATCGACCTTCTGCTCTTAATATCAGAGAGGGTGGACTCGGGCACACTACGAGCGCTCGAACCAGGAACTCGGCATAGTGCCTGGCTGGCCGCATCCGCACCTTTGATGCCGGGTCCGGCTTGAATTGGGTTGTAGAGCACCCATTCCACAACACTGCGAGGCTCATAGTCTCTGTAATTGCCCAAAAAGGCGTGGAGGTTCTCATACTCTAGTTGTTTATCATAGTAGCCGGCAAACTCCTTATTCCATACCTTGACGAGGGGATCCATGCCGGCGCGGCTGACCGAGAACACGAGCGTCGTATATTGAAGCAGCCGGACCCAGGTATCTAGGGTACAATCCTTGGCCCTGGCGCGTAGCACGTTGAATTCGGCTGCCTCGAACTTTAGGGAACGCTTACGAGTGAATTTGTCATGGACCGTCGGGAAGAGAATGGTAGCGGGACAGGTCGGCTTCTCCATGTACTTGCGGATCAGAGCTTGGAACTCGCGGCCCTCTGAAGAGCCAGGGTCTTGATCGCGAGGCTTCAACTTCTTGGGTTCCGTGCAGCAGAAGGCGAGATCGCCCTAGCAGCCGTCGCCGCCTTCACTACCAATGGTGAGACCCCTTTCTCGGGCCAACATCAGCTGGTTCGACGAGCATGCCCCTTCGCAGAGGAGTTTTTCATTGTCCGCGTTGAGAAACCCGGCCTTCTTTCGCCACTCGCATTTACCAGAAACATCATAAGGTGGCGGGGATATGCAGCAGAGACTTCTCTTCTCGCCCTTATCGCATGACTTCATACCGCCAGAGCCGATGCTGCTCGAAGTGAGGAAATGCGGGTTATTGCCTGTACAAGCATCCTGTCCCTTGTTGGTACATCCAGTCCAGACGCAACTGCTGTACAGAGACGTGACCAAGGTATCGCTGCAGCAAGCTGATTGGTATCCCGAACGGCAGCCCACATCCAGTGAGCCGACTTCAAGCTCAAAATCGTTGCAGCCGGGTTTGCATTTGCCAGTATTTCTGTGGCCACGCCAGGTGCACGTGGGAGACTTGAAACTCGTCGGGCAGCAAAGACGACTAAAACCGTGACCCTTGCCAAAGCAGGGTGTTGTGTCCAGCATAATCTCCTCGTGGCCGTCACGCTGGACCTCTTTAAAGCCGGACGGGCAGCCCTCGTAGCAGCTTGTCCAACGGCACGTCTTGGACTCAAGATCGGGACTATCTTCCACTTTGGCGCGGATAGCAAAGTTGGGAAGCTCGAGCTTCTTACGACCTAGAACAGAAGCCAGAGCCTGGGCATTGGTGCCAAACTCGTCATCCTGGCTGATGGCCCATACCATGAAGCCCGTGATGCACTGACCGCGCAGCTTGTTAGCCTTGAGGCGCCAAGTCGCGGCATCGTCAAACGAGGTCCACTGGTTGCCCCTTGAGATGGTCTTGACGGCAACTTCCCGGTTAAGTACAGGCTTTAAATTATTCTTGTAGATTATCTCCTGGATCTCGGGGTGGAGCAACACGCCGGCCGTGCCAGAGCATTTGCCCGCCTCGCCGGGTGAGCTAACGCGGCAGCCGGGCTTGTTGCAGCCGGGGTCTGTAAGGGTGAAGGTACGAGCATAGTAGGACATGCCCATGGTAACTTTGCTAGGACTAATGTCGTTGCGCCATAGAAGATCCAAGCCAAGCTGAATCTCGGTCAGGTTAGTGTGCGAGTTCGCCCAGGGACCAGTCCACTTATTATCAATATCCCAGGCACCGTGCATATCGTACGTCATGAGGTTAAACCAGTCGACATGCTCCTCAAGCTTAACAATATCAAAGTGCTGGAGGTACCAGTAGCTGGCGGGGAGAGCCATGGACACGCCTCTGCGGGACTTATCCATACGTTCACGGAGCTTCTTCATAAAAGTGACAATATTCTCATAGTCTTCACCGCGGCCGTCGCGGTCGGGAGCGACTGGATATTCCCAGTCAATATCCACGCCGTCAAAGTTGAACTTATCCATCAACTTGACGAGCGAGCTGAGAAACGTGTCAGTGTTTGCCTCAGAGGCAGCCACGTCGCTAAAGGTTGTCTGGGTTGGTCCTGGGTCGTTGACCACCAGCCGCCTAGGGCAACCCAGATCTTAAGGTCAGGCTGGAGGAGCTTCATGGTGCCGATTCTCTCCATCATGTCCTCGGTCTTATAGTTGTCGGGCGAGACCTCAAATGTCTTAGGGTTGATGGTGGCGAAGCTGAAGATAAGATGGGTGTAAGCGCCGTAGGGAATCTCTTCCGGTCGCAAGGCATTACAGCCGCGGTTGGAAGTTGCCCAGCCCTCATAGTAGCCGATGACTCGGTCTACGGGTGTGTCGCTGACGGAGCACGAGGGCCGTTTGACCTCATTTCCCTTGCAAAACTCCTCGGTATAGCCGCAGAAGCCGTGCTTGCTGCAACAGACATTGAGGGGATATTTATCCTTTTTGCTAAAGTCGCCACTGTCCCAACCGGGGTTACAGTCAGACTTGCGATCGCAGGTGCTCTGGCATCCCTTTCTGAGGAAAAGTGTCAATCGACAGGTTGACAGCAACGATGTGCATACACGCGCGACGTGTATACACATAGACTGAGTCGGATCGACTTACCCGCAATAGTCGGGTCCGTAACCACAATAACCTGCGCTGCTACAACATCCTGCAGGGCAGAGCTTGGTTGGTAGCGCTGCACTCGCCGTCTTGCTGTACGGTGAGTTGGACGAGGGCGCTCAGGAACACTGTGAAGGCCACAAGAGCCTTCATGGTTCGTATTGCCCGAAGGAAAATAAGAGTGTAATGGTTAACGAAAGAAGATTTTGGCCTTGCGGGAAAAGAACATTTGTACCTGGCCGTATCAAAAGAGACGTCAGCTTAAACGAATAGAGCGAGGACAGGAAAGGGCTTCTGCCTATTATACCCTTGCTCGTCGCAACACACTTTAGCTTCTGCCGGCCCAGAAACGTGTGGATACGAGCAATACGTCTTTTTACAAGTAATTTGTAACTTGGTCATGGACAAAGAACCCATATGCACGGCAAATGAACCTGTTCAGGATCCTTGCTCCGCTGAGGGTCCTTTGTTTTGCAGCCTGCATACAATGGTTCCATGGCTCTTGTACTTTGTTCTAGAGGCCGTCGGAACGAGACTGGAACGACCGGAGAATTATATGACCAAAAGAAGGGCCGAAGTACTACCACCCCGAAGGGAGTTGCAGCTCTCCGTCAAGATACGGCTGCCCACATAACAACTGAGCTGCACCTGCCGAGAGATTGGGCAGCAGCCGGTTACAAACCTGCATCTTAACATTGACTCGACCAAACTCTACATCTTCATGATGAAGAATCTTTTGCTTTTGTCGTCCCTCCTTGGTGGCTTCACACCCCTTACAACTGCATTGCTCGAGAGCCGCGCTACTGGGTTCCAGCTCGTCACCAGCAAGCAGCTAGAAGGCTCTACACTCAACTCCAACTGCCAGCAGGTACTCCAGCAGACGATTCAGTGCGATGAATACGTCGCCAACTTTCGGGAGAGGGGCTACTGCGGTTCTCTCGACGACTCAGCACTGACCGACAGCGTCTGCCAGGCCACATGCGAGAGATCTCTGCTCAACGCCAGGAGACGCCTTGCCGCCGTCTCCTCTTCAACACCTGATCTGATGCCCGGATACCCCGTCGCGACGCTCATCGAAACCACCGTTGCCGGCTGGAACGAGACATGCCTCAAGGACAAGGACACAGGAAAGTACTGCAATGGTGAGTGCGCTCTCATAGTAGCTCTGGCATCTTGCTGTCAGCTAACATCCACTATACAGACATTATCGATGCTTTTGAGGATTACGAGAGCCTCGAAGCCATGCCTAACGCGCAGCTGTGCTCCTATTGTTACGGAGCCAAATTGCGCATGATGCAGCAGTCGCCGTACTCTGCATACGATGAGCTCTTTGCTCAGACACTTGAAACCGTCAATAAGCGTGAGATCATCTATTATCACCAAGTCCAGATCACGAATGCTGACATATCATAGGCTGCAATGTCAAGGGACCAACCGATACGCTTCCACCGCCCATTAACGTCAACGTTACCAAACCTAGGGAGTGTAGTAGTAAGCAGACGTACAAGACGCGCGACGGCGACACCTGCGACAGTATCGCTTTGGCAAATTCTGTATCGGCAGCATCACTCTTCTTCCTCAACCCTAACCTGCTCAATTGCAGCAGCGTGGCCGCAGGCCTGCAGCTCTGCCTGCCGGAGAAGTGCTGTCACACACACGATTGTATGG